GAGAAGGGCAAAACGGTCACAGGGCTGTACTATGCCGAATTATTGGGCGGATTCGACGTCGAATTGCAGAAAAAACGGCCCCATTTGGCGAAGAATAAAGTGCTCTTCCACGATGAAAACGCACCGGCTCACACCTCCGCCGTCGCCATGACCAAATTGGTCGAATTAGGCTACGAACTGCCGCCTCATCCACCGTATTCTCCAGATTTAGCCCCGTGCGACTTCTTTTTGTTTCCAAACTTGAAAAAGTCACTCGCCGGGCAGAAATTTGAGTCGAATGAGGAGGTAATCGCTGCCACGGAAGCCTACTTTTCAGACCTCGAGGAAACGTATTTTTCAGACGGGTTAAAGAAGTTGGAGCATCGCTAAGCCAAGTGTATCCAACTAAAAGGAGACTATGTTGAAAAATAAAACGCCACTTTTCCAAAATTTCCGTTTTTCTTTTGTAGGCTAAGTACTTAACGGACCACCCTCGTATTTCCGTTTTCCGAATAGCTCTCATTTTACAAATAAAAAATAAAAATTTAATATCCTCCAATCTTATTCTATTCACTTTTTCTCTCTTAATTTCTCAAATTTATTTTTAAGATAACACTATTAATTTCACGGATGTAATTAAATTATCGATTCGTACTAATTATTCCAGCTTAATTTGAAATGATTACTCGGCGTTAACTTTATCAGAGCCTTTCGCTCATACATAGACCCAGACTCGGACCAATTGAGATTCAAAAACTCAGATGAAAAAGTCGACCTAGAAATCTCAACCTTAGAAGCGAATACAGCATCACTAGCAGCTATCGGTACAGCAGATACCACCCATGAACAAAGGAAGGAACTGCAGGAGCTACTAGTGCGCATTCTAGGAGAAGCAGACGTAGAACTGGGCTGTGTGAAAGGTTTCGAGCACGTCATTGACGTGGGCGATGCAAAGCCTATAAGGCAGAGAGGATACCAAGTATCCAAGAAAATTGAGGAGATCATCCAACAAATAGTGATGGATATACAGTCAAAAGGGATAGTAGAACCATCCAAAAGCGGATGGGCTAGCCCAATCGTATTGATCAAGCGAGCAGAAGGAAAAGACCGCCTCTGTATAGATTTCCGCAAAGTCAACACCGTCACCAAAAAGGATGCCTACCCCATCCCGTTTATGGACGACATACTAAAGAAGCTAAGTTAACCGAAATTCATCTCCACGATTGACCTAAGCTCAGCATACCACCAGGTCCCACTGTCTCTGGAATGACGTCCCATAACAGCATTTCCCGTACCGGGAATGGGCTTTTTCCAGTACAATAGGATGCCATTCGGACTGTGCTAATGCGGGAGCAACCTTCCAGAGAATAATAGACAGTATAATAGGATTCAAACTCGAACCTAACGTCTTTCGATACCTAGATGACGTTATAATAGTCACCGAGAATTTCGAGGACCACAAAAAATACCTCGAAATAGTCCTTCGAAAATTAAAAAACGCCAACCTCACAGTGAACCGCGAAAAATGCGAGTTCTGCAAATCGGAGGTCAGATACCTAGGACTGTTGGTGAATAGGGACGGGATCAGGCCGGATCCTGAGAAAGTTGCACCAGTCGTCAACTACCCGGCCCCGAAAACCCTTCACCAACTAGAACAGTTCATAGGTATGACCTCCTGGTACCGTAGGTTCATAAAAGACTACGCGGCAATAGCAGAACCACTCACGGCACTAAAAAAGAAAGGTGGGAAATTCGAATGGACCGAATCCCAACAAACCACGTTCGACAGACTGAAAGCAATAATGATTTCAGCCCCAGTCTTACAACGCCCGAGACCTGGCGTTACGTTTGTCATGCACACAGATGCATGCGACACAGGGCTAGGAGCAGTACTGTTTCAGGAAGTCGACAATCAGCTATTTATCATAGAATACGCGAGTCGAAAGTTAAACCCAGCCGAACGCAATTACAGCGTGACGGAGCGGGAATGCCTCGGAGTCGTATGGGCGACTAAAAAATTCCGTTCATACATAGAAGGATACCACTTCAAAATCATGACAGACCACAGCAGTTTGCAATGGCTCAAGTCAATGAAGGGTCCGACTAATAGGCTCGCTAGGTGGATAATATACCTACAAGAATTGGACTACGAAATAGTCATCATCAAAGGTATCAACAATGACCTAGCGGACCCACTTTCAAGAATGTTCGAGGAAGAAAAACTCTAGTTAGGCGGTATCGAGCGCGACTGGAAAAAGCGCCGCCCAACTAATTTACGGCCGCATTTTAGATCCACTCAACACAGTCCGTAGGTAACAAGACCGTCTAGCCCAAGACGAGCTACAGCGATCACTCGTAGATCGCTGGTACGAGCACATGCAGGAGCTAACACAAACGCTCCAAGAAGCAGCACAAAAGTCAAACGAGGAAAAAGAGAGACAAGAAAATTACTACAACGCAAGAAGACGCGACTCACCGCTGAAAGAAGGCGACGTAGTATGGCTCGTAAATAGAGTACAATCATCAGCTGGAAAAGCCATATCGGCCAAACTAGCCTCATCGTACCGCGGCCCCTACTTAATTATTCAAGTACGTGAAATGAACACGTACAAACTACAGGACGCTGAAGGAAAGATAGAAGACTTAATTCCGGCCAAAGATTTGAAAAAGTTCAACGAAATCTACGATTTCGGAGAAGAAGATCTCCAACCAAACTACAAAGAAATCGAAAACCAGAACCAGGATGCTGAACAGCCACAACCACCAAGGGACGATCAGGTGAAGCGCGACCCGCCGAATGTAACAGCGACTCAGGAAGAACAAACAATAAGCGAACGCGTAGCGGCTCCCGAAGAGCCCGGTATTAATGAAACCGCGATCCCGGTATCCGCGAAACGGAAAAGGGGCCGGCCCCGTAAAGTACAATACGCCGTCAGACGCCCCATTCAAACACAAGCGCGCAAAGCGAAAAGCGAACGGCCAGACGAACCCACTGATCCAAAAACCGCGAGCGACGATGCACCATACAGGTGCATCACAAGATCCAAATCCCATATTGTGACCTAACCTGAGAGTTCTTTCCGTAGATGCAACAAAAAGATACGAGGAAGGGCAGGCTAATGTTTGAGGAGCTTTGCAAGAAGCTCATCAATTGCCAGATCAGCAAGGAGGTAAACGCCTTGCTGACCATGTCGATGACGGCATGGGACTAGGCCGACAAAAAGGCGGAAAAGGAGAAGATGGAGCGAACTCGTAGCTCCATCTTCATCGAGGAAATCTCCGATGACGAGGGAGCAACCGGCCCATCGACAGCGAGTTCGCTCGCAGTCGCAGCCGGAGCCAAAGAGCTCCCAGCCCTTGCTATAGGCGAGCCCATCGCCGCCCCGGCTCCCCCCACCAGGGAAGAAGAACCAGGCGACGCAATGAGAGGAGACTGCCACCTTCCAAAATGAGATCGTTCCACTACCGGACATTTCACACCTCAGCGCGGATCTCCAACAACACATAAACGAGATGGACGCCAAGTTACGCCGCCTGGAGGAGATGTACAGGCAGACAAAAGCCCTGGAGCGCTCGGCGCTCCGTCAATTCCGCCAGCTAACGGCGAACGCTGACGGCGCGGAGGCCCTCGGCGCGTGGGACGATATCGTGTTCCACACGGAGAATGAGATCTCGGCCATCGACGCGTACTACGAGGAAGTCGACCGTGAGAACGAGCGCCGGCGAAAAGAAAAGCAGCGTAAGAGAGAAGAAGAACGCCGGCGCAGAGAAAAGGAGCGCCGACGGGAGATCGAAACGCTCCAAGCAGAGAGAGCGCGGGCTGAGGAAATGGCCAGGTAGGCCAAGGAACGAGCAGAACAGCTGGCCAGACAGGAGCAGCAGCTCCAAGCCAAGCTCCAAGATCAGACAGGAGCGTCATCATCTGACAGCTGCATCATCTGCGACGAGCCGCAAGTAGCAACCGGCAGAATGTGCCTGAATCGAAGCAACCACTACAAAGGCCCTAGGCGCCGCTTCTACTGAGCGCCGAAAATAAATAATAAAGCACTATTTTCTCCCACTGTCAACAATCTACATGCGTTTTCTTTCGGCCTCCTGTTTAGTTATCGAGTCGCTTATAAGTAAGCGACGTCTAGGGGGGAGATGTAACGGGATGCGTAAGGCCCTATCAGTCGTTAACGAACCGACATTACCCCCCGCAAGAGTAAGAGCCGCCGGCCGGCTCCACTACCAAGTTATCTGTCTTAGCGTCGACACCTCCAAAACCTAACCTAGTGATTCGCTAAAAAATGCTCTAACTCAAATTTTTGTAAGATTTTTTTCCAGATTTGGCAAATTTTCAAAGAAATTAGCAAAAAATTTTCCGAATTTTAAATGTTGAATTATTGCTTGCAAAAAAATGAAAAACAATCAATGGTATCCATGAGTCATACAATTTGAAAGCTCTTGGAAAGACCTTTCAAACGCGCCTCCGGGTATATCTGTACGTTAATTTTTACCAGAGACATTAAACTTTAAAGTTTTGACTAATTTTGCGGCGGAGGGTCCAAAGTAGGTTACCGGCAGTGTACTTATTAATTAACATTGTCATTGTAGCCGAAAATGACACCAATGAGAGAAGGACGAAAGCCTGAAGGTGTCTCTAAACTCTGTCGTCTTTTCTACACACTTTAGCTACTACCGGGTAGTAAAGTTTCTTGCAGCGTCCATTCAAGCTCAGCTGCCAAACTGAAAATCGCTTCACTGGCCAAGAACATAGGGTTGAAGGACCGAGAGATTTCGTTTTTGCCAGTGTGGGCTTCTCGATTGCTAGGCTAAACCATATTCTAACCTCTAACTAGTCGCGGTTCGTGTACCGCTCCCTACTTCTCATAGATTACATTACCTCGACGACTGCCAAACTCCTTAATTAGCCTTTCTCTCTCGCTTCTACTCTCGTGCTTCTTATCGCGGCCTCATACTTGCATACGCGCTCGTATTAAGAATTCTCTTTGTTACAATGTATGTTTTATTAAACTTACCTCATTTCGCACAACATTTTTGAATACAACCTTATATTTTGAACAAGTTGGTGGAAAACTCCAACAGAATATTTTCGTTCTTTCGGTGTATGGTTTTTGTTCTGAAACCTTCACAGTCACTGTATATCTAAAATGAGATATTACATGACCTGTATACGCATAATTTTAAGTATTATATACGTCAAATGACAAGTTTACTTACATTTCTTGTCTAGTACAAACATGGGGACCCTCAAGTGTTTGAACGATTGCAGAAAGAGGTAATATAAATATTATAAAAGTTAAAATGCTGTCTTGCATTTTCATTCAGTATCTATCGCGTGTTCCTCGTATTCATTGCAGTATTTTACATACATTTAAAACGCATATTGATTTAACATTTTCTTCTTTATTTTGTACTATTTTGAATATTTGCTCTCTGAAATGAAAATTAGATTTATTAACACTAACGTGCTTTGATGACATAATTTAATTAATTAGAATAGTTGTTAATATAGATTATTCATTATCAAGTATTCGATGATATACATTCACTTGTGTTATAAAATGCTATGCATATAGCTAATTATATTCCTAAAACGTTAAAATACGATCTTAATTAAATAGATAACATTCTATACAATAATGTGGACAAAAATTGAAGTATATTAAATTTCTAGAGTGTTTATTGTATTTTGCAGTACACGTAGTGCAACGGTAGTCGAGTTAATTAATCGAACCGTTCGCAATTCTACTTCTCGCGCGTTAGTTCTAATAGTTAAGAGAGAGAGAGGGGGCGCGCGATCTTTTGAATAGGCAGTTACGCCTCAGCTGTGAACGCGAATTTACCGCCGATTTGTGTTTCGCACTTATTTTCGCCAAAATAAAACTTCTTTGGGACAATTACGTGTGTGTGTGCAACGATAGTATTGCAACAGCAAGCAGCGGTGCAGAAGCAGCAGATTGCAGTAGATAAAGGATTGAGGCAGCGCAGCTGATAATCAAGGGGCAGCGGCAGTTGACATTTCTTGCAACAACAATTACGGCTGATCACCGTAATTGCACCGCATGGTAGGTGCACCTTCCGTCATATTAAGCGATACAAAATACATTCGGTATTTTATATATTCGAGATAGCGTTATTTTTTTTGTATTCGCGTCGAGCGTTAGTTCGCGGTATAATTCGAATCTTCTCTCTCTCTCTTTCTCACCTAATATAACTAATTGTAAAATCCTATTCGCGTACGACAGTCTTTCGGCCCTACAAAGACTGTAGTAATTTTTATTAATTAAAGTCTGTGAAATTTATTCGCCGTTTTCGTAATTTAATTTTCCTAGTAGATTAAGAAATTGAAAAAGGCTTAGGTTTTAATCCAATTACATCTAGGGGATTAAGAAGATTAGGAGTAAAGTCGCTCACACTTAAAACTCAATGAGTGTCACAAGACACGTGACTTAAGGTGAGTTCAACTCCGTTTAATAGATAACAACTAGGATAAATTATTTGACGTTAAGGCGAATACACGTACTATCAATTTTTCAGATAATCTGCCCCGTTACAGTAGATATTTGTAGTTATAATATCGTAAGCAATGAATCGCATTTATTTCGCATATCATAAGCGTCTTTTAGATTCGTGATTTTTATAAGTATATTTTTCATTTGTAGGGATACTGAATAAAAACATAGATTGTTTAATATAAAGCGCTTCTTTGATAAAATTAAATTTAGACCATTCTCTCTGGATTTCCCCTGATTTTTCTCTTTTTATTTTTAAATATGATGTGTAACGGTTGTAGATTTATTAAGTGTAATAAACCGTCGTCCGTTAACAAGATCCATGTACTACCGTCGTTCGTTATTTTCCTCTTCTGACTAGCTCTGTGCTTGTCGCGCAACCTGAAAACGGGCGCGAAAGCACGAAATAATAAAGGAAAGCAATGGTCGAAGGCTCTTAGAAAACGGTGCGAAGGAAAAGGGAACGTAGAGAATATTCGGGGTTATCGAATAAATGTGCCGGCTTATTTAGTATATCTCTGCCGAATTTCTTTACTGCTTATATCCACATCAGCGCACTATTTACGCTGGCTGAGAGATTCGCGATACGCAGCCTAATTGTACGAAACGCGTGAGAGAGAGACGGAAAATACAACTCTGAATGACACGCAGCCGATGCTGTTTACATGCGCTCGCTTCCCGGAATTCCCGCTCACAATATCGAAAAGAAACGGACAACTTACGCGGGCGAATGCTGCTGCAGACAGCTACGCCTTAATTCCCGGGTCTGATTATGCGAAGGTCGTCGCTCAGGGTTGCCGAGATTGGGAGGTCTACGGGTCGATGCTCGTGGATCGTGGGCGACGGGTCGGATCTCCCTGTCCGGGTGACGGCCTTCGATTCGGTCGTCCTCACACGCCGGTCGCTGCTGAATATCTCCCTCAGTCACAGTGTTCACACTTCTCAATTTCTTGATTTCACTCCGCCGGAATCGGTACGTCGCTTGATTTTTCAATAAAGAAAAAAAAACAAAGGGATTTCGATCGCGCGCGGTCTCCTTGCCGGTCTCACGTGTACTCCGCGAACCCGGTGCCTTTTTCTATTTCTCTCTCTCTCTCTCGCTGCGCGGGTCTTCCGCGCATGGCGCGCTATTTTAAAAATCGCTCATCTGTCTCTTGACGAGCCCGCTCGTTACAGATGATATACTATAAATATGATCGATGACTGAAAATAAATTAATATGAATTCATAAGAGTAAGTTTGAATCACAATAATTTTTTCGCCTTATCAACGATTTTTAACCAATCTTACAACGAAAACATAACTATAAAGAAAAAAAAATTAATATATTTTAGATTCATAATTTATACTACCGGTCATGTATTTTTACGCCCCCCCCCCCCCCAAGGAAAATTATTGGTTAACATTTAAAGAATTATGTCTTCAAAAATAATCTATGTGACGGTGTAGGCTGGTCATAGCCTACACCGTGTATGCCTGTATTCTCTCTCTCGGGCGAAAGCACACGGCCGGCATCAAACGCACGTTTTTATCACGTGCCTGATGCCTGCCCTTTTCATTTTCAGCAACGCACGAGAGCGGAGGACGAGGCCGGGGACGCAACGACGCGATCGAACATTGAGAGTGCGAGAGAGAGAGAGAGAGAGAAAAACTATAGTCTAGTGGTTGGGCTTGGCGCGCGGCACTTGTCGCGACCGGCATTGCCGCGTGCCGCCGATTAGGAGGCGAGTGGTGGGAGAAGGCGTGAGTAGCCGGCTCTGATGCACTCGCGACAGTGATGCGCACGCACACGAGAGTAATCGGCCGCATTAGTTAGTTGGTGACCATCTCTGCGAAGCCTGCGCCCTTTGTTCGGGAAGAAGTTGGCATTCCTCGACAGATTGGCCGGACGGGATTCTCTCTGCCAGCGGTGCAGCAGTCAGGAGGTTTTCCTGCAAGAAGCCGTCATCGAGACAACACCCGACGGGTTCTTCTGCCAAATCGTCGGCCACATAGCAGCCAAGGGTCTTCCTGCCAAGCCGCCGGTGGGACACCTTCTAGATTGCCAGCGACAGCGACGTCCGCCAAATTTGGTCAGGTCATCCATTCCTCTCTCTCTTTATATCTCTCCTTTTCCTCGGCGATTTTCACGGTTCGCGTTGCTACGCCAGGCTTCCCCGAGCCGGCGTAGTTTTCGGCAGTGTCTAGTATAAGATGTCGTTTGAGTCGGTTAACGAGGTGACATGGCGCTAACGTGCCGGTCATCTTGTTTAGAATAAGTTCGCGTGTTATTAGTAATAAGTGGTTTGTACTCTCGTCGGCACTCGAAGTAGTGCGTTTATAATAAACGATTTATTAACGAAATTGAGTGTGTGAGAAGTTATTTTGCCCACTGTTCTCCTTCCTGCTTTGCTTGGAGCGATACACCGCCTCCCTTACCTCCCCCCTTTATAAATAATTGGTAATAGTGGTGAATTTATCGGCATTGCACGCCGACGCTATTACATCTACAGAAATGGACAAATTTGTGTTTGAAAGCTCTTTCCTTTCAAACGGTATATATCACGAATGCAAATGTTTTTCTAATCTTAGAATAAAAAAATTATATCTCAGATTTTTTAAACTTGATAGTATTAATAAACTTCGAATTTCATTTATACGTGTTTTTTCTTTATTCTGAAAAACGTTTTTTAAACCCTGTAACGCCAAGTAAGCGTGGAACGGTTTTTAACATTTTTTTCGGATAAGAAAATTCACGCTTTGTTTCAAATGCACGCCATTTTGGGCCAAGTTATTGTATCAAAGCGATTTTTTTAAATGTGAGGAAGTCTATCAGCTTTCATTTTTTACTACAAAATTTTTATTTTTTTTAAACTTTAATTTTCTGAAAAATACCATTTTTAATTATTTACAACTTTGGATATGTTGTTCAGGATGTTATAAACTATCTACTTACCAAGCGGCAATCATTTATCTTGGTCCGTTCTCGAGATATGACCTTGCATAAAAAATTACTTTTTTCGCATGAGTTATGTGCAAACTGTATTATTCAGTCAAATAGCCTCACTTTCATTTAAATCTACGAAATAAATATGTAGTAGGTATGCCTTAATGATTATAAGCATTGACCTCTTGAATTTTATTACTTTAACTTGTTTCTGCTTATATAAAGTTATCATGTAATTTTTAAATAAATAGCAAAAATGGAAAAAGGTCCCATTTTAAAAATTGAATATCTCAAAAGATCATTCTTAATTTATTTCATATTTGGATATATTGTTCAGGATCTTATAAGTTGTCTTTCTACTAAACGAAAATGTGCCTTTATGCTGCATTCGCGAGATACGACCTCGCAAAGGCAATACATTTTTATGTGTTGCAGCGTACATTCGCTCATTTTTTCACTCACATCTCAAAATTTTCTTAACTCAACTAAATTATATCTAAAACCTCGAATATTTATGACGTCTCATGGTTTGTTAATTGCCGTGGTAAAGATCCTATGAAATAAAATCTGGGCTCGAGTACGCTCGAAGGTTTAGGACGCCTGAAATACTCAATCCGCGCGTGCAGTCTTCCAAGACCGTAGTTATTTATGGCAATAAACTCCGAAATAATACCTCTAATATCATAAACATATTTAGCACCTTTTATATACTTCTTATTTTTACTACACAACACAAGTCATTGCTTACAAGCAAGTAGGTACAAATTAATTTGAATTAAAATTCAACATGTTAAAGTTATATAAGATATTTTATTTAAAACTTTTATTGTACAATCATTGACTTATGTTAAATTAATAGATATTACTGAAAAGGTAAAAAATACCGCTAAACGCATTTATTTTTAACATGTAACCCTGATCCAGTCATGTTTTTTTGTTTTTTTGTTATGTCGCGACTACGTAGCCGTGACGTGTAGTTTTAGAATATGTATGAT